AGGGAATGATGAGGGTGGACATTGGAGACAGGGCATGGTGCCCCAACAGGCTAGACTGGAAAACATACAAACACACACACACACACACAAAGATTTTAGAACATATGAAGGCTTAAGGTCAAAGTTATTGTTGGATATCAAGTAAGATGTGAATTAAAAACATATCCATAAGTGTCAGCTAAAGAAAAATTAATGGAAAACAATTGACAAATTGAGGCCAATTCAGGGTTTAAAATACATGCACTTTAGGTAATGCACTTTTACTTAATGAATAAAATTTTAGTTGTGACAGCATCAGGAAATTTGATTTAACAAGTAGCTAGGTACAAATAAAAGCAATAAAGATTCAGAAGCTTTATAATTAACTCAAATTAAATTATTTGAAAATACTACCATAATTTCTGCATTCTTAGTTCTTATATTAATGAAACAATATTATCCCATTCAGTTAACGTGTGTTAGTTCTCTTGTTCTTCATATGATCTTTGACTATTTTTCTCTTTTGAGATTTTACATGTTGATTTCTGAACTTCTTGAAAAATCTATCACTGCCTTGGTTTATTAATTTTTTAATCCTTTCTTTTATTTGCCTCAAAAATTATTTTACTGTGATTTCTCAGTTTTCTATGGTAAAACAGTAAGACATTTGAAGCGTAGAGACATACAAATGTAACAGGAACAGCAGTGCTAATTAATTAAACTATTTATTCTGTCCTCCCATATTATTTTGTCAGTATAAAAAATCCTTCAGTACTAAGCTTAGTTCACTTATCTGTAAGAGGTACACGTATGCTTTTACCTTTGACAAAGTGTAGATATGTTCTTCATTTACTAAACTAATTGTCATATTGCCACAATATAAAGCTTCCCCTAAAAATGCTGTAATAAAAAGCCCACCATAAATCTTTCTCCATCAAATGAAAAATTTCTGACCTCTATAAACTGCACATGTACTGTGAGATTTGGGACATCAGTATGAAATTAAGCTGTGGCCCCTAAGTGCTTGGAAAGACTCATTCTATTCCTAAAGGTCTTGTACTTAGAGTCAGTACAGCTGTATAGCATCCATGATTTAAATTTATTTCTTAGCAAAAAGATAAATTACCATATTACATATTCATGGTACCTTGTGAGCCACACTGTAATCTTTAAGTTTTTGAATGCCAAAAACTAAACTATCAAACTAGACCTAGAGACTGAGTCTGGCTGGGATACCAAGAAAGACTTTCCCTTATCTCCTTCCAGAGGCTTTAGGATGATTAGATTCATTTTTATCTAATCACCAGATCATACTTTAAATAGGGGTGGGGGTGGGGTGGGGTGGGGGGGGGGAAGGAAGGAATGTAAAAAGAAAGAGTTTTTGACCACAAAAAAGTATGGAAAACATCCCATTCCATACAGTCTATTATAAATGTAAAGAAAGCCTCCTTTGGGGAACGTTTACGCCTACACTTTCTTTGCTGCAAGGTGGGAAGAATCAGGCTCATCTCTACTAAAACAAACTAGCATTTTAAAAGATATCTTCTGAGGTAAGAGCAGAGCTAAAGCAAATGATGCTACGCAAAATAATTTTGAAATTCAGATAAGAATTATAAATGGAAAAGAAGGAAAGTTTAAAGAGTAATTAGATAATATAAAATGTTCAAGTGAAAAAGAAATGTTCAAATGTATAATTATAGTGATTTTGCTCATGGAAAAAAATAAGTGTTACCAGCTGAAAATCTATGGCAATTATAATTACAATAAACACGAACAATTCTGTTAAAATAATTTCTATGAATGTCTACCTTAAAAATGCTTATCTATTTTATGTTTACATCTAGCTGTATTGTTCGGAATGAACTACACAAGAAGCTTCTTCTGGAAAAGCAGGGCATACAAACCCTCTCCAAGGCTACATCTATAAGAAAGAATGGAAGACTCTTCTGTTTGAGGAGTGTTGAAAATGAGAGCTCTGCTTCTATGTTTTAAAAGTGATAAAAATACTGAAAAAGAAAAAAAACATTTTTTACTAATTTGTTTATATAACAGCCTTTTTTTTCCTTTAAGGGATTTTAATAATTCAATACTTGAGTTTCTATATTTAATGGATGATATGTACAAGGGTAAAAACTATCTGTTTTCCTCAATTCAGGGTGACAGTAAAATTTTAAAAATAGGGGTTCTATCTAGAATGCTTAAAATTTATCTACAAAGAAATAATAGTATATAATAGAATATATTACTTACCTTTCCAGAAACAATCTTTTCATAAATCTGAATTGGTTGGTCTGCAAAGAATGGGGGATAGCCAGCCGCCATTTCGTAGATTAGCACTCCCAGTGCCCACCAATCCACCGCCTTATTGTAGCCCTTGGAGCAAGCACACAGAAACATCCACCGTGACGTCATTTAGAAGAAAATGAACTTATAGACAATTTCAAAATAATAATATAATAATTTTCAAACATGGAACTTTTAAAAAGACAGTTTCTGAGGAACTTTTAAAGTAGATATGCTGGAAGTGGTTATCAGGAAAGATTATTATTATTTTAAAACAATTTTACTGGCATTTACTCAACCTACCATATAATTCAATAGTTCAATCATATCAAGAACAGTTGTAAAACCATTATTACAATCAATGGTAGAACATTTCTTCCTGTTATTAGTTCCCCACATTTCCCCAAACTCTTCTGCCATACCACCAAGAAACCATGCATCAAGTTAACCGCCTCTAAGGCTTCATCTTTCTCCGGAGAAGCAGCTGGTGGGTTTGAACCACCTACTCTTATAGTTAGCAGCCCAATGCCTAACCCACAGAACCACCAGAGCTCCTTAACCGTGCACAGGCTAGCCAAGTTTCAGTTATTCAGCGGGTACTTTATTCAGGTGCGGACTATCAAAGCACATCTTCTCCTTTCCACTTTCCTTGTTCCTCCTTGTGTCCAGTTACTGTTAGGTCCACCTTTTTTGTTTTCACCACTAGGACCAGTAGAGGAAAGGAAAATGGACAGAAATCACACCATCGTTTCAGATGTAATTATAGTTTCTCTAACCACATCTCAAAGTTTGGAAAAGCAAACTTTGTTTGCTTTGCTTGTTATTAAAAAGTTATTGTTTTTAATAACAGCAACGAATTTATTGCTTTAATTCCCATTACCCCCAAACTAAACCCACAGCCAGCGAGCCATCTCTGACTCGCATCTCTGACGCTATATAAGGTTTGCAGACTGTAACAGTTTTATGGGAGCAGGCAGCTTCACCCTTCTCCCACAGAGCAGCTAGTGGTTTTTGTAAACCCTGAACTTAGAGTTAGCAGCCCAACCCTTATCCAGTACAGCCAGTAGAGTTCCTTATAATTTTCATAGATCAACTTAAGAACTATACTCAATATACTTTTTTCTTTAAGTAAGAAATGTGAAACAAGGGAATAACTAATGATTAATATGTAGTCTCTTAGCTTGCCATTTCACATAATTCATAGAAAAGCTTCCTGTCTTCTTTCTTTTGTTGGAAATAATTATGAGAAGGTTATGCTTTTGGTATGAATCTAGGAGTCAGATTATTTACACACTTTTTCTAAGATCCAGAGTTATAATTGATAGGTTATGTGATTTATGGTAGACTATAAATAATCAAATGCATTTAAATTCTTAGATTATATAAAATTAGAATAATAAAGTTTTTACAAACGTTTACAGTGATGAATGCTCCATATTTCTAATTCTTATATAACGTCATTATGAATATACCTTGCTGAGAATTATTTCTGGAGCCAAATACTCTGGAGTACCACACAATGTCCAAGTTCTGCCTTTAACTCTTTTGGCAAACCCAAAATCTGTGACCTATAAAAGGAAAAAGAATACTGTGACCATTTATTATTTCAATTATTAGACCTATATTTGAAATTAAAACTTCCAGATAAAACTTAAAGCCAGGAAAAGAAAAAAACAACAGGAGAGAAACTAAGACAACATGTCATTGAGACTAATACATGAAGCCACTAGTTAGTGATGAAGGGGCTGAAAAAAGAGAAAAAGACCCATGCCAGCGGGCTCCTCCTCCACCCGAAAGAAAGAAGTTAACAACAAAAGAACTTCGATTAATATAAAATTACAGATCCAAGGAATAAAAAAAAAGAAACTAGATTTTTTAGACTAGTGCTTGTCCCCAGTCATTAATGGTTCCATCACATGTACCACTGTGAAAACGCTATTGATAACAGAGTAGAAAGAGATGCCTCCACTTTAGTAACAGTGCACTGGTACTTGTTTTGTTTTTTTTGCAGTTATATTGTATGGGGAAAAAACATGGTTTATGGAGACACACTGGATCAAAATCCTGAGCATCATTTATTGGTATGCAACGATGCTGTGCCTCCGGTTTCCCTAGACTTAAAACAAGGATTACAGTACCTATACCTTACAGGGTTATCAGGATTGAGTGTTAATACATGTAGAACACTTGAAAATTTTCTGAAACTCATGGGTGCATACAACATTTTTTTGGTAGGACCCTGTGCTAAGTTTATACATACAAATTATTGAAAATGCAATGAGGTTCCATTTTTTGATAGGGCTCATGGTTGTTTTTCAAATAGTGGCAGAATTATGAGTTCAATTTAAGTCATAAGAAAGAAGCAATTATTCCCCTCAAAGGGAAAAATGTATCAATATTGATAGTTGGGGTTTAATACGTACAATGTCTTATCTAGTATTTTCTACTATAAAGTATATATATATTGTATGTTTGGGTCATACCTGGATATAACCTTGGTGGTCAATTAAGAGATTTTCAGGTTTCAGATCTCTGTAGATGAGGTCTAGTGAATGGAGGTACTCAAATGTTAGCACTATCTGAGCTGCATAAAAGCGTGCATGAGGCTCACTGCAAAGGACACAAACATTAATATTCTGAAAAATGAGAAACACATAGTAAGGGGTACATAATAATACAAAATTGTCCCAGGATAGAGGCATTGGAGCAAACATTATTTCCTTTTAAACGTATGCAAAGAATTTTATTAGTGCCAAATATTTAGTAAATTTATAACCATCTCACAATAATTGTCTGAAATATTTAAGAGCAACATATGTTCAGCAAAAATAAGGCTATAACAAAACCATCTTAATGAAATCATATTTCTCATATTAGAAGATCTTTATATCTACTTATGTCTGAAAATAAGAAAAACTGAAAAGCAAATGTGTCAATTAAGATTGTGGAGTTCACTGTTACTGTTGATAGGCTTTATCTCCCTTTCTCATACACATGTGATATACATAAAGAATCTCAATACCTAGAAACTCTTTACTTTAGCCTACAGATTAATATAATTAAAATCTAAATGAACTATTAGAAAAGTAATAACATACCCTTTACAGGAAAACATCGTAAAACATTACTGAAGAATAAAGAACACTGACAATTCCACCCAGAAGTCCTAAGTGAAGTCTTGAATTCCCAGAGTTTCTACTATGCATGTTAATGCAGACATGCAGACATGTGTATGCTCTGCATGTTTGTGTAAGTGTGCAGTGTTTGCCATATAGATTAGATTGATATGTTAGTGTAAACTGGATGCCATTTCGGAGTATCAATCCAAAAAATTGTACTGATTTTCTAACTTGAGTTTCCATTTCATCTTCTAGCAGATTTCACTGAATTTTGCAAATTTACCTTATAAGCTGCAGTGACTTCCTTATTTGTATCAACAGTGACCAACCTTAATTATGAATACAATTTCTCATAAGATGAATTGATCGGGTAGCCCCAGAAATAGAAATTCCAAGAAAAAAGTCATATACATAGTACCTATATTTTCCAGGTGCTTGGTAAATACATATTCGTAGAATAAATGTGCGCAGGAAAATACTTTTGAGGGGGACATTTTATAGTACCTTCCATTTTCAGTCCTATCTCAACCCTATAAAACTCTACATGATATGGTAATGGTAGGGGAACATTAGAAGGAAATATTGGGAGAATCATCCTGGTCACTAACATTTATCCCTAATCTTGGAAAAGTTTGACCTGGGAAGTCTGCTCCTACTTTTTTCCAAGTTAAGTCCTCAGCATTTTATACTTATTTTCACACAATAATATTTGGAGAAACCCAGAAATTACACATAGATCCATATCAATATGCAATTGGGAACCCTTATGGCATTGTGCATTACATATTGGGTTGCTTTCCGAAAGATCTGCAGTTCAAAACCATCAGCTGCTCTACTGGGGAAAAAAGATGAGATTGTCTAATTCCATAAAGAGTTACAGTCTCAGAAAACTGCAGGAGATTGCTGTCCTATAGGATTGCGATGAGTCAGAATACTCAATAGAAGCTATATTCAATTGTGGAAAAACAAAGGCAAAATTTTCAACTGCAATTTGTCACTGGATATTTCTCCATCATTTTAAGATACTGCCAGAAGGTAGAATAAAGATTTAATGCTGTAGCAGCTTTAAGTCCAAATACTAATTTAAGAGAATCATAATGAATCCATTTATTCCAAATAAAGCCATGCTCAACAATAACTCAGTATTCTCATTATATCTAAGTTTCCCGGCCCCTTCTCGATACAGTCAAATAGAAAGTGTATATATAGAATGTGTGAAATGTTAGAAAAGATAGTATCTTAGTGTGAATTATGTTAATCAACTTGCTTTCCTTTTAGTACCAAGCCAATTATTGGAAAAATGAGAGTGTGGGGGGAGAGCTGCAAAGGAAAGAAGTTAATTATAGAAAATCACAAAATATCTTTGGGGGACAGGTTTACGTATGGAACTTCAGTATAAACTTTTAATGAGTATAAAGCAATACGAGGAATCCGGGCCAGCAGAGACAGCAGTAAGAAGTACAAGAGAATCATCAGAGGCAAACTAAAGTTACTTTGTATCAGCACAGTGTCTGACATCTATAAAATACCCTACACATATTACATCAATGCAACAATCTTAGGCCCAAAGTGACCAAAATGTCTACTTCCCACTGAATATCATTCTGTGACACTACGTTATCATCATCTTTAGACTGCATTGCCGCCATCATTTGTTGCTGTAACATTTAGGAGAGCTACATTGGAAGCAATGAAGTCTCCATCGCCATTCTCATTTTAGAGTATTAATTTTATCTTTATTTAACTCAAACCTTTTGCATAAAATTATATTAATATTTGCACAATAAACATATGCATTACATTTTTCCATAAAATTTTGCATACTATGAATCCTTCAATTAATTAGGACCCTCTTCAAATAATGGGCCCTACCAATTAAAAACATTTAAATTGGTTCAAGATATTTTTACTTCATTTTTAAAACTCACATATGGTAGACTTCTTTTAATGTTTCTATCTAATGTTTTCTATTACTAAACACAAAGGCAACATATAGTAAGGGAGCAATCACACAAAATCACTAAAGGAAAAGAAGACACAGTGCTGCACAAGAGTTATAAACAACAGGCGTTTATATACACAAACTTGCATTATCAGTTATCTACACAGGCAGACGGACAAGATGTACAGAAATGAGAATGTCGAAAGGAATTAAAATCACGATCACATATAAGTTTGGCAGAAAATATTTATATGTACATATTTATGTGTTCTCTACATTTAAGTATGTTCATAATAGAACAAACTGGAGGCAAAGGTAAGGTATCTAAACTTCTGAGCCATAACCAAACACCTTGAGGGAGTAAGTGACTGAGCCTGGGGGCTTAGGACCATAGTCACAGTCAAAGCATAAGATCATCAACAAAATCAAGTTCCACATCCTACTTTGGTAAATTGCAACTGGGATTTTAAAAATTATGTGAGTGACCACCTAAGGTACGACTACTGGCCCCAACCCACCCAAGGGAAAGAAGTGTAAAGGAAATCAAGGATGCAGGATCGTAAGTACTAATGGACTTCAGCCTCCAAGACCCTCAGACCAGAAGCACTACATGGTGCCTGGCTCCCACTGTTGAGCCCTCTGAAAGGGAACACAATAAAAGGTCCATTAAAGATTAAGAGAAAACTATGAAACAAAACTCAAAATCATAAAATAGATCAGGCTCACTGGTCTGAAGGAGCCTACATGGTGAAACGCCTAAGGCTAAAGCCCTTGACCACTCTTCAGTCCTAGAACTGAACTTACCTTCATGGCTCAACTTCATGGAAACAACAGAGAGACCTACGGGTGAACAGGTACACCAGGGAGGTATGCATTCCTTAAAACAATCAACAATCTTAGCTCAAAACGGAAGCCTCTATCCAAGGATAATGCTTAAAGGCAGTAATGGATAGGAAAAAGGGACAATGGAAACAGAAAAGACAGGAGGAAAGTGGGAAGATAATATTATATTGCAGGAATTTTAATCAGTGTCATGAAACAAATGTGTATGAATAATTAATGAAAAATTTGCTGTGTAAACTTTCACCCAAATAACAATAAAAACTAAAAAATGAAAAAATAAGCCAGAGTTTCAAAAAAGTTTATGGCACCAGTAAAACACCCAATATTCCTCTGGTTCCTTGAGGGTTCTTCAACCCCCACTATCATGACCCCAGTCATGCTTTTCACTGTGGCCTAGACCGGGTCATGTACACAGGTACAGATAAAAGATAAGAGTTCACGACACACAGACTCCGGGAAGAGGAATGGGCGTAGTGATACTAGGAGGGTAGGGAAGACAGTGAGAGGAGGGGAGGAAGGGGGACTGATTGTAATGACTGACACATAATTCCACCCCCCCCCCCAGGGTGACGAGCAGGGTGAAGGAAGGGAGATAGCAGTTGGTGTAAAATATGAAAATAATGATAATTTATAATTTATCAAGAGGTCACGAGGTGGGTAGGCGGGGAGGGAGGGAAGAAAGAGCTGACACCAAGGGCTCAAATAGAAAGTAAATGTTTAGAAAATGATAATGGAAACATATGTACAATTGTATCATACAAATATGCTTGATATAACTGATGTATGGATTGTTATAAGAGTTGTAAGAGCCCCCAATAAAATTATTTTTAATAAAAAAAGAGGTTAAAAAAGTTTATAGAAAAATTCTGTCATCTTTTTAATTCCATTTTTCAACAATATTTTGAACTCTCCCTCTTATATTACTAAATTTAATAAAGTAAAATTTTGGCATTGACAATAATTAAATTATTTTATTTTAAACAAGCACAAAGCAGATAAATATTGCAGAGAGGAAAGGCATCGGTTACCTGAATCTTCCAATTCTCCTTAGATGTGAAAACATTTCACCCCCAGGGACATATTCCATAACCATGTATAAATTAGAATTATCCTATGAATAAATAATAAGAACTAGTAAATCAAAATTATGTAACATAGATTACTTCTTAAAAACAATTTTAAGAGGGTAACTTGTTCAATTTGAAAATGGCAAAATTTAAACCTTTTAGGTTAATATTGGGAAACAGAATAAGTGTAAATTGATCTGGCTTTTCTACACTGAGATACTCATGTTATTTTATTTTGTAATCTCATCACAAATTAGCATGGGCCTTTTACTGCTCCTGCGCTTGCAGAGAACACTTAAATTCTTGAACAAGTAAACACAGGCATTTTATTATACTATAGTATATTATATAATCCTATAATACATTCGAAGAAGTAACAGATAAAAGCATTTTTAAACAGTTGATATTACCTACATCTCATATATTTGATCTGAAAGATTAGTAATTTTAATGGGATTTTAAATACGTCCATCTTCATTAGATTCAAAGGGAAACAAAAATGTTAAAATAATTCAAATGAATAAGTATTATAGAGTTGTCAAGTGTTAATCTAATCTACATAACTGAAAATACATTTTAAATGTATTTAATTTTAAATTAAATTTTAATTTTTAATTAAATTTTAATTTTAAATACATGTTTTTGTGAAATTTTATGAGGCATATCAACAGTGGGTCAAAGATTATCCTGTTCATATAAATTAAAAGACTATAATACAAATGACTAAGTAAAAAGGTAATACAGTGGCAGAAAGCGCTTAATGAAAGCTAAGGAAGGCGAGTAGGTGTATTCATTTGCATGAGTATAAGAATCGCTTAATAAAATATCACCATGGTTTCCGATAAACTGAAACATTCGATTTTATAATACTGTCTCATGAAGAGTTACATGTGTCACTTTGAACAATTTCCCCAAGGACAATCAAAACCTTTTCAAATGTTGACTAAGTTTATACATACAATAGGATTAAATGATATATTTTATAGATACTTATTTGGATAAGTTACCAAAATTTACCTTAAAAGAATACTCCAGCCGAACAAGAAAAGGAAAATTCACAGCCTGTAATATTCTTTTCTCATTCAAAGTATGCTCTATTTGCTTCAGTTTAACAACCTATAACGGAGAAACATATTTAATGTATTTGGACAAAATAACAAACTTATTATCTTAAAAAAAGTAAATTGCTTTCCATATGATAATGAACTTGAAATCCTTCATAATTAGTTTCTAATGTCCACTGCAGTTTTGGTTTGTGCTAGACCTTCACACATCATCTATTGTCTACTACTCTGACTTGGAGTGTGAAACACATGGGTACATAGGACTGTTCTGGGTGCAGTAGCAAAGCTGATAATAACATATGGCCTATTTTCATTATTAATAGGGGGAAAATATACAAAGGTATGTCTGAGCAGTGGGTTCATTTGTCTATAGCTTAGGGCAGTTTTTGTTAATATTTGTAATTAAGTACCCATAATTGACAGAGAAAAACTAGTAAGTAACCTCTGGGAAGTGTATTCTGCTTTATTTTCAGAATTAATATAAATTTGGTATTTGTTTCTTACTAGTTATCTTGGTTTCAGAACATATAAATGGCTTAAATTGTCACTGATTTTTTATTTTTTAACATTTGAGAAGTTATTAATAGGGAGACAGGCCAACTTCCCTACTTCACCCAGCACAGTCCTGTGTACCTCTGTACATCATGCTCCAAGTCAGAACAGTAGAGCATAGAGTACATGTAGGGGTCTAGTGTGAGTTAACACTGCAATGGAGCTTGGAAGAAAATGGTAAGGGATTCCAAAATAGATTGAAGAGTTCTGACTTCATTTAGTAAATGTAAAGAAGCATTTTGATTGGGTGAGTGAAATGATATATTAAGAAATTGTCCTTGGTAGTAAGAAGGATGGATTAGTGAAAGTGAAACATTTGGGTCTACAAATATCTATTAAGATGTCATTAACCCATCTGCAGAGTATCTAGTCAGATGGAGCTGATGGCAGATCCACTCTAGCCAAAGCAAGAGTCTACAACAGCCTTCCTATCAGGCAGAGAACATTGTAATCCTGATTATGCAGGATGGAACTTAGTACCATGCCATGTGTCCTCCCTATAGAGAAGCTCTGAATTAGTACTGGGTGCAAGTATCTCTTAGATGTCCCATGACAGAAATTTCTTCCCTGGCTTTTCTTAGGCATCATTTGTATTTTTGCCTTTATGCTAATATGATCTTATCCTTACTGCTTTAGTGTGATTTGTCTTTCACTGTTTTCTGTTGGGTTTCCCAGCTGTGAGTCACAGGAGGAATGGATGCATGATGATACAAGGTGTTGTGGGGAATGCAGGGGTGGAGGATAGGCAATGGGGAGAGGAGGGGGATTTCATGAGTGAACAGCGAGGGCGGGAGAGGGGAGGGAGCACTAGAATTGATAGTAATTGCACAACTCAGTCTGAAGGCAATGTGACCTGGGGAGGGGGCGTGTCTTTAAGATAGATGTGGTGGTGATTGTACAACTCCCCTTGATGTGATTAAATGACTGAACTGTGATATGTGAATTATCTGCGAATAAAACTGTTGGGGGGGAGGTGTCATTATGAAATGCCAGTTGTTATTAATGAGGGATCAAGCTAGAAATAACAAGTAGATGTTAAGGAAAAGATTTTAAAGGATGATAGGAATAGATGTTCGACCAGCTAAAGTCATATTCTTGGCTTAGCTTACATGTTCAACTTCGAAAAAAAATTAATGGATAAGTTGTTTATAAAAGAAGATTAATGTTATACAATGATGTGAAGATTCAGTGCTATAATATAGATCAAGTACTTAGAAATGCTTAGTTTATAGTACTGAGCGAAGAAGCAGTCAAAATAAATTTAGTTGAAAAATTTGTGGATTTATTAACAGAAGTAGATATAATAGTTTTGTTTCATTACTATCTATATAAAATTAAATTTGGAAAAAATCTAAAATATAAAATTATTCCTTTGAAGACTAGGATATGCCTGACCATGGAATTTTCAATTTGCTGCACAAAACAGAAGGACAATGAATAATGAAGACAAAAGAGCAGTGATGCTTTAAATTATGGTGCTGGTGATGATTTAAATATATTATGGGGTAAACAAGCAGCCATCTAGCTCAGAAGCAACAAAGCTCACATGGAAGAAGCACACCAGCGATCACGAGGTGTCGAAGGGATCAGGTATCAAGCATCATCAGAACAAAAAATCTGACCATAGTAAATGAGGGGGGGAGTGCGGAGTGGATACCCAAAGCCTATTTGTAGGCCACTGGAGTTCCCCTTGCAGAGGGGTCTCGGGGAGGAGACAAGCTAGTCAGGGTGCAATGTAGCAACGATGAAACACAACTTTCCTCTAGTTCCTAAATGCTTCCCCGCCCCACTATCATGATCTCAATTCTACCTTACAAATCTGGCTGGACCAGAGGATGTACACTGGTACAGATAGGAACTAGAAACATGGGGACTCCAGGGCGGATGATCTCTTCAGGACCAGTGGTGTGAGTGGCGATACTGGGAGGGTAAAGGGAGGGTGGGTTAGAAAGGGGGAACCTATTACAAGGATCTACATGTGACCTCCTCCCTGGAGGACGGACAACAGAAAAGTGGGTGAAGGGAGACATCAGACAGGGCAAGATATGACAAAATAACAATTTATAAATTATCAAGGGTTCATGAGGGAGGGGGGAACGGGGAGAGAGGGGGAAAAGTGAAGAGCTGAAGCCAGGGGCTTAGGTGGAGAGCAAATGTTTTGAGAATGATGAGGGCAATGAATGTACAAATGTGCTTTACACAATTAATGTATGTATGGATTATGATAAGAGTTGTATGAGCCCCTAATAAAATGATTTAAAAAATGTACAAATGTGCTTGACACAATGGATGTATGTATGGTGATAAGAATTGTATGAGTCCCCAATAAAATAATTAAAACAAAATCTCTCTCTTATACACACACAAAAAAACAAACAAACAAAAATATATATTATGGGCTGCTAGAAGAGTGAACAGATCTATATTGGAAGAAGTGCAGCTAGAATGCTCCTAAGAAGCGAAGATGGTGAACTTAATTTCACATACTTAAGATGCCATCAGGAGGTACCAGTGCCAGTGCTTGTAAGTAGATGGTTAGCACAAAGGAGGAAGACTGTCCATGAGGTGGACTGACACAGTGGCTGGAACAATGGGATCATAGGAAGGATTATGCAGGTAGCAAGACTGGACAGTGTCTGCTCTGCTGCACAAGGGGTCACTGTGAGTTAAGCCAACTGGAAAGTACCTAGCAACAGCCACATGCATAGATTCAGAACGTTGTTGTTGTAACAGACATTACTTTTAAATAGCAATTATATGGGAAATAATATATGCCAGTATTTTTCAAGAAGTAACTTTCTCAGTAATTTACTTAACAAAAGGAATGAAAACTTCTTTCCTAATACTACTTGAATGCATGAAAATAGCATATTTTGTAATCCTCTTAACATTTTATGAGTAAAAAACATTCTGTTCATTCCTAAAGAAAGATAACATAAAAGATCAGGGAGTATCCAGACAGCAACAATGGTAGTGGCAGGTTTAATCAAGAAAATAAATTTAAAGTATTTTATTGTTGCTGACCTCATCTAGCGAGTGAAGGAAAGAACTAGACTGTCTGTAAGAGCTCTAAACTGAGACTATACATGCAATTTGGATGTAGAGCTCGGGGAAGCATTGCAATCCTTAGGGAATAGCACAAAATGACAAGGTATAGACTATGAAAAAGGGAAGAAGGACTGGTGCAGAGCCCTAGAATGAACAACCTTTAATGGCCGGGCAAGCAACTCATGAAAAGGGCCAGCAAAAGAAGAGCTCCCAGAGGCAGGGGACAATCAGGAGAGCACGGTATGCAGATGTCCAGGGAGAAGTGGTCAGCAAAGGAAGTGGTGAATCAAGGAAGTGGTCAGCAAAGTCATGTTCTAAAAAGGTAAGAAGAGCAAAAAGAGTCTACTGACTTTGGCAGCAAGGTCACTTGATTTAGAGACCCTAGGCAGAGTCTCACCTCAGCAGTACGAGGTGAGACATAGAGGCAGCCCACATTGTTGTAGGTTGAGGAATTAATAGGAAGTGAAGAAGGGGGAAGCAATTGTATTTTCCAAGAAATATGCTTAGAAAATAAATGTGGGCCAGGGAATAAACGTTGCACAACACACATACAAAAGCACATGCATGGTATATTGAATATTAAAGCGACTTAAGGCATTGTTCCCTTTCATATTAGGTTAATTTTCTTTTCACTTTTGTTTTAATTAGAGGTTAGATTACAAGTATAAATATATATCAAGTTTTGAAGATATAGCATAGAAAAAAGGTACAAAAATATATGATTCAAATTAACCTCACTTCTTTTTTTGCACATTTTTTATGTGGCTACTAGACAACAAAATTAAAAGCATGTGGCTCAAATTATATTTCTACTGAACAGCACTGGTGTAGACATTATCTCTATTCCACACTATTAGATCAGTATTCTTTCCACCACATTTGGATACTTATCCCACAAATCACCCACTGCTTCTCACCAAATCATTCTTGGGACATAATTATCTATATTACTATACCAAGACTGTCATTTTTTTTCTTCTCCTTCCCTTAATTTTAAGTAAATGCTATGCAATTAGAAGCTTAATATTTAAGGAATGATTAATTCATATATTCTGATCAATGGGGTATGCCATTAAGTATGTAGGCTTCTTAAACTTTTCCTTGCTTTAACTGACATTTTAAATTAATCAAAACCCATTAAAATTATATAACTAAAATTAGTACATATCTGTTATTTATTAATTGGTCCCTGAATTTTTCTACAAAGAACCATGAGTAGCATTGCTTGTTCTTTACATATTTAATTCAATATTTTACAGGTAAAATGTTATAGTTACTGAAATAATATATCTCCATATACTAAAACTGTTAACTATATATCATGTAGTCACAATAAACAAGAATTAAAACAAAATTCAACAATAAAATTATTAAACACTGTTAATAGTATGGCATCATATTTTATCTTTTGAATATGCTACCAGCTAGAATCTAGACAATAAAACTAATTTTCTCTGTAGGTAAATAACAAGCATATGCACAAACCTTCTGCTTATCTAAGATCTTCATTGCATAATACTGCTCGGTGGCTTTATGTTTCACCAACATGACTCTCCCAAAAGAACCTGTCCCAAGGGTTTTTTTCCTTTCAAAATCCTCAAGTCCGGCATTATTCTGAACATACACGGAAAAGTAAAATAAATCAAAATGAAACTTCTTACAAGAAGATATTAACCATACACAGATTAGTATTATTTAATCAGAGGGATCATTTCATTTACAACTTAAAAAAAAATGAGAAAACTATTGAGATTCCAGGTTATATATTCTACTTTGTTTTAAAAAAATTTGGTAATTGAGAAGAGAACTTTATTCCATAACAAGGCATAATAATATTGGGAGGAAAAAAGAGCCTCAACTGAAATATTAAAGGACATATCTCAACATTAATTCCTAGAATTCATTTTCTAATAAATCAGTTATATGCCTTAGTAATTACACTGACTAGAAATACACTGATAAAAATATTCATGTAACTCATACAATCTTAGTGCACTTGCAACTAATGATAAGGAACATAAACTGAGCGACTAGTCCTTTCAATGCAGATATACGTAAGGAAGGCACTTCAAATACAACTTCATATAAGTTATAGAACTAAATAGCAGCATGTAAGATCCCAATGGCTTTCTTCATCTGATGTTATAATAACCCTGTATTACTACAAACAGTAGCAATAAAGAACAAAGATTTCCTCATTCCCACCAAGATAACCAAAATTCAGAGTCCCAGAACAATAATGAGACTTTTATTCTCATTGAATAGAGGTTTTGTTTGGAGCAAACATCTTTGTTTGGTTTTGACTAAAGCACGGAGACAGAGTTGGAGGCAGCAATCTTTTAAATTTGTTGCTGCCACAGCAAAATGAAAATTACTAGGAACAAATTATCTAAGTGCTAAATAGCAACAAGTGGTAATTGCTGATCCATTTGTTTAATGTTTTCATTACAAAGATTTCCATGAGAATCATGAACAAAATATTTAAGTGCTTAGCATGAGAAAACTGTGGTGAATATGTTTTTGTGTGTAAATTAGGAATCTAGATAACTACTGGCATTCACTGTGGGCGGACTTGCTATTTGTTGCAAATCAAACCTTGCCTTTGGATACAAAAATAGCTTTTCGTTGGATCATTAAAGAGAAAACAACTCTTTTAAAAAAGTTTTACTTATAATACCTATTTTCATCAGACTTTAGTTTCACATTCCCAATAATTTAATGTTACTATGAGAGTCTCTATCAATGCAGAAAAAGTGCTCATAAAACTAGAATGGATCATTTAACTTTAGATTAATATGTAATGTAGTTTTATTAACATATAAGAGATGAAAATTTTAATACAGTCATAACCAAATAACAGAAACAAATTTCATTAGTAGACAAGAGAATATCTCTTCTGGTAGGCATTTCTTTTGTATAATAATGAAAAATAAGGTGCCATCATGCATATCTCCATTAATGCTTCATACCACATAATGCCTATTTTTTTTATAATCACTACAGAGGTTATGTTTTAATTTAATGGTCATTCTGCAGCTTGGTAAAGCTGGTGTCACATGATACATTTCATTTATTTTGAGTTAAATATCCTTTAGTAAGGTTAAAAAAGAAAAGAAAAAGAAAGAAAAAAGTTTGCTAGAGAATAACCCTTTCATAACGTAATTTATAATTAAAGATCATTAATTATTTTCAAATTGGGGGTAAAGTATAGAAGCTCTTTTTATGTTTAAAAAACTTTTAAATCTTATTTGAGACCTAAAGTATTCATAATATACTGAACTTACCTCCTAAAATGTTTGGAAACCAATCCTGTACATTTGATGCACTGTTGATAACCTAGTATTTTTATTAAGAACTTGAAACTGCACAATAGCATCCCCACTGTTGCAATTAATAAAAAAAGTATGCTATCAAAGGCATAATTCAAAATTAATATAATATTAAGATATTTAGAGTTTGTGGCAACTTGGAATTAGTACTAACATTTATACTGGGGATTTTAACTGGAAATTAGTTCTTTTCCTAATTTAAGTGTACATACATAAAATTATTATTTAATGAATAAGATGCTAAGGTAAAATTTTTATTTTAAGCTTGTATTTACTAATACTACTTGAAAAAATAATTTCTGAAGTGGTAAATTACTTAGGCAAGAATCATGATTTTACTTAACATAGGATTTTTAAATCATAGAAAATTTGAAGTATTTCTTACCTGAGCAGGATTTTCCCACTTTTTTAAAAAGTCTTCTTTGGCTTTGGCTAGAAACTCTTTCACTGAAAATACATAAGAAAAGTTTTGTCTTGTAAGAATATTTGTATTATATATAAATAAACTTACTTTATAAAAACAATTACTGAGGAGCTGATGCCAGGGGTTTAGGTGGAGAGCGAATGTTTTGAGAATGATGAGGGCAATGAATGTACAAATGTGCTTTACACAATTGATGTATGTATGGATTGTGATAAGAGTTGTATGAGACCCTATAAAACTATTTAAAAAAAAACCCAAAAAACAATTACTATTGCCATAGAACATGTATCTTTGCAGCCATGATACACCAGAGAGCCAGGTATTTTCTAAACAAGAAGCTAATATCATCAATCAGGTCAAGGCCGAGGGCCTATGTGGTAGAACAAAGCATCAATTGCTCAAATGGAAGTTCAAGTTAATGCTGACAAAAAGTAAAATAAGTGCATAAGAGCCATAGTATGACCCTGAGTATATTCCACCTGAGTTTGGAGATTCTCTCAAGAACAGACTTGACACACTGTAAACTAAACGGCCAGAAAAGTTGTGGGGGACATCACGACATCATACAAGGAAAAGGCAAAAGGTCTTAAAAGACAAGAAGGAAAGAACAGAACAATTTAGATATCAAGAGAGCTGTTGAAACTTGCTCATGAACACTAAGAAGCTAAAATGAATAGAAGAAATGATGAAGTAAAAAAATTAAATAGAGGATTCCAAGGGTGGCTAGCAAAGTCTTATGATAAAGTTTTAAAAGTACTGGAACTAGAAAACCAAAACAGAAGAATAAGCTTGACATCTCACGAGTTGAAAGAACGAAGAAAAAATTCAAGCATCAAGTTTCAATACTGAAGGATCCTATGGACAACAAATGAAACACGCTAGGAGGCATTAAAAAGATGATGCAAGGAATACAGAATCACCATACCAAAAATAATTTGTTGGCATTCAAATATTTCAAGTGGTATACCTGATCATAAGCTGATGGAATTGAAAGAAGTTCAAGCTGCACTAACTAAAAAGAAAAACAAAATTCCCTACCATCAAGTCAATTCCGACTCAGATAAGTGGTGGGGCAGAGTAGAACTGCCCCTTCTGGACTCTGGGACTTGAACTATAGAAGAGGAGGCAGTTTCACGTTTCCACCATGGACCACCCAGTGGGGTTGAACTGCTAGGTTGGTAGAAGCTCAATGTATAACACACTAGCTATCAGATCTCTGGGTTGCACTAAAGGCACTGGAAAAATACAAGTGATTGGCAGGAAACTGGGTTGACTAATCAACTAGAAAAGCCCATTACAAAGAAAAATAACCCAATACTACATATAGAAATTATTGAACAAAATCATATACAAGTCATATTTTATGGAAGATAATTTTAAAAACAGTTGCAGCACTACACTGACAGGAAACGACCATATATTAAAGCTAGATTCAGCAGAGGGTATGGAAAAATGGATCATTGCTTACATCAGTGGATCCTGGTCAAAGGTAGAGAATACTAGAAAGATGTTTACCACTGTTTTCAATGACTTTGCAAAGCTAGGTCATATCAAATGATGGATAACATTACCAAAAAAAAAGGGAATTCCAGAATACTTAATTGTGCTGTATTGGATTTGTACATATATTAAGGGGCAGTCATTTGAAAGGCATCAAGGTTGCATCCTTTCACCATACTTACTCAATCTGTATGTTAAGCAAATAACCCCTGAAGCTAGGTTATCTGAAGAACATGGCATTAGGGTTGGAGGAAGACTCGTTAACCACCTGCAATATATGAGTACAGATGACAACCTTGCTTGCTGAAAGTAAAGAGGGCATGAAGCACTTACTTATGAAAAACCAAAAACAAGCATAGCCTTCAGTATGGTTTAGAAATCAAAATATAATGAAAATCCTTAGAATTGGACCAAAAAGCAGCATAGTGATAAATGGAAAAAATACTGAAGTTTTCAAGGACTTTATTAGAATTCATAATCAATGCCCAGGAAGCAGTGGTCAATCAAATAATGTATTATGCTGGATAAATCTGTTTCACAAGACACCTTTAAAATGTTAAAAAGCAAAGATGTTGCTTTGAGAACTAAGGTACACCTGATCCATGCCATGGCATTTTCACTTGCCTCATATGCATACAAATGAGGACAGAAGACCAAAGAAAAATGGATACATTTGAACTATGCTGTTGGCAAAGAATACTAAATACAATAGGGCTGTAGGAAGAACAGATAAATCTGTCTTGAAAAAGTCAGAATGCTGCTTAGAATTGGGAATGGCAAGAGGTGTCTCATCTACTTTGGACGTATTTTCTGGAGGGACCAGGTCCTGAGGAAGGACATAATACTTGGTGGATTGGAGGGTCAGTGTAAGTAAGGAAGATCCTCAAACATAGTAATTGTGAGGATAGTGTAGGACCAGGCAGTGCTTCTTTCTATTTTCCATAGAGTTATGAGTTAGGATGGGACTCACTGGCCTCTCACAACAAGAACAAGAACAGTTACCTGCTTAAATTTCTAATGATCTCTAGCTTATTTCCTAAGTTTTCCAGAGTATTGTTCTTTATAGAGTTCACTTTGATACTTTGAAATCTAATACATGACTATTCCTGAAAACAAATCTAAAAATGATCTTAAAAAGTTAAAAATCAATCAAGTCAAGAATACAGAACATAAATAACCCAGCAGTAATATTAAGCCTTTTAAGCATAAGAACTGAAAACTTTGAGAGGACATGAGTCTGTTGATTGATGAGTTTTAAAAACTAACTGATTTTGATAACAGGCTATTTGTCGGTACAAACATCTATGTTTATTACATTGGTGTTCTTGTTATTAAGGGCAAGAGAAAAGGGAACACACACACACACACACATGCGCACATAAATGATATTCACAAAAACTTCTATACCAAACAAAACAAAGCATCACCTACAAGAACCCAAGCAGCTTAAAAATCTTATTCTAGAGTTGGAAGACAAAACTGTCTGAACGCCTAATTTTAAAAGTGCACGAAAGTAATGCTTTTCAAACCAGCTGCTCATCAGTTGATCAATAATTCACATTACTTTATAGCTGTGATTTTACGTTTTAGACTTTTAAATTAAATTATAATTCAATTAAAGTATTCTTTTTTAAACTCTTTACACAAAGCTATTAACAATGTTTTTTGTTTACCACATGATTGTTCACATTCTAGGAAGAAAAAATTCAGAGAGCAAAAATGATATTATGAAAATGTATTCTTGTTCCTTTATTTAAATGTGAGAATAAAGCCAAAGCACAGAAAAGGTAATTATGTTAGCGCTTCTTTTTGGTTTAGAAAGTTCTCAATATTTCTGAATACTGACTCTGTAAATAAAGAGGCAAATGGTAAGAATAAGATTTAAGTAATGTTAAAATAGTAAAATGTCAACAAGGAAAAATTACTTTGGATATTAAAACTTGGAATTTTGAGTAGACAGCAGGAACCTGAAGTGGCACACTTGTATTTATTTCAGAAATGCCAAGAGTGATGATGATAATACAATAATTAAAAGCAGAAGTGAGGGACTTAAAAAGTAATGTAATGATCAAATAGAGGAATTTTCATGCTAAATGGATCGGGGTGGGGGAAGAAAAAAATTAATTGCTCAAAGGAAGAACTGGTAGTAATTTTCAAAAATGGTAACTTGAAGAAACATTTCTTTCTCCCTGCTAGTGGGTAAGCTAGAGAAAATAAAAGTATGTCTTAATTTCCTTCCAAATATTCCTCATAATGATCTTTCATGAGGATTATCAGATGTTTATGAATTAAAGATATTAATTTTGTGAATTACTTCAACAAGTAAAGGGAAGGCATCCCTTTCAGAATGAGGAAGAGCACGAATGATGTCAACTAAACCATTCCATGAAAAACCGCTCCTGAATCACAAGAAATAATGTAAATGTATAAGCAGACACAAATCCTCTAGCTTACATGGGCATGCTGAATTATGAGTAAGCTTAAAAAATAACAGGCAATCCAGGACCATACATATTTACTTTGAATGTTAATTTTTTTAAACATTGGTGGGTTTCATTTTTTTTTAAACTATGTATTTATTTTTTTATACAAAGCAGCCTCATCCCCTTCAAAGTACCCTCCATTCCACTCAATACATTTGTCAAAGCTGTGATTCCATTCTTTATTTTTTTAATTGGATTTCCTTTTTTAAATGCTCTCGGTTATTTGAAAAAACGTTGTATTCACTATCAAGGTGTAGGCACTATGAGTCGGAATCAATTCGATGGCAGTGAGTTGGGTGGTTTTGTTTTATTTTGCATAATCCATTGTAATGGGATTATTATCATTCCTTCCTTTACCTTAACAGTAAATTTTGTGAAAAGCAGAATTTGAAGGGACCTCTGTTTTCTGGGTAGCAAGTTTTCCACCTTTGACACTTTTATTTCTTCATTTAGTGGGAAATGCAGTAATTTTCCTACTTTGATAGGCTCCACCTTACACAGGAGGTTCTGGAAAAGAACTTATTCTATTGAAATTTTAAAAATAACTAAATTTCATTTCCTTACAAATAAGCACATAAGGCTAAAGAAAAATGGATACATTTTAATTATGCCATTGACAAACAATACTAAATATAACATGGACTGCAGGAAGAAGAAATGACTCTGCCTGCAAGATGCAGTCAGAACGTTGCTTAGAAGTGAGGATGGCGGAAGTGTCTCATATACGCTGGTGTCTTTCTACTAAAAAAATGTTTAGTGTTTGTCAGGAAAAAATCCAAGATGGAACTTGAGTTAAGTCACTTATGAAACTACCAAGAAAGGGGGGCGGAGGGGGAAAAAAGAGGAGCTGATACCAAGCAAGGGCTCAATAGAAAGTAATTGTCTAGAAAAGAATGATGGCAACATATGGACAAATATGCCCGATACAATTGATGTATGGATTGTAATAAGAGTTTTAAGAGCCCCCAGAAAAAAGATCTTAAAAAAAAAACAAGAAAAAACTACCAAGAAGGACTAGCAACAAATAATACATTATAATC